CGAGAGGGAAACTGATCAGTTTCCTTGGACGCAGCGAGCTTAGAGGCGTGAAAGACTGGGTAAGTTCTGAGATGACCAGGGATACGGATGACATAAGATGGACCATCAGGATCTGTCCCTACTACGTCTAAAACATCCCAAGGTCCAAAGTACTGAGGCATGAGTTTGCGGGATATCCCGAACTCCTGTCCCAGTTCTGAAGACTTGACCCAGACTCTGTCCCCAACCTGAAATGTAGAAGGGCGGCGATGTTTATTCTCAGATTCTATCATTGCTGCCTGCGCCTTCTGCATGTGCTCTACAGCCTCCTGCATTTTCTGTTCGTAACGATAAGCAAACTCCAAAGTGCCCGGTGTAACAGTTGGCTGGTTATCAGGAAGTAGGAAGTCTAAAGGCAGTCTAGGCCTAAAGGTAAGATGTAGACTGTTAGGACTTACCCCGGTAGCGCTGTGTACAGCGTTATTGTACAGACTGGCGACAAGAGCAAGCTTCTCGTCCTAGTCCACCTGATTAGGCTTAATGTAATGCCTCAACAGGTGTTGAACAGCGCGGTTCATCTGTTCAGCCTGGCCGTTTGCTTCTGGATGGTTTCCAGAAGTCATTTGCAGTTGAGTTCCCTGTTCAGCTGCAGCGGCCTTCCATAACTCACTTGTAAATCTGACATCCCTGTCACTTACAATAGACTTAGGCAATCCAAAAYCCCTCACCCAGTTCTCCTTGAACARCCTGATTACATACTCGGTCTTCGCTGTTTCCGGCATGGCTATTAACCTAGCATACTTACTAAACCTATCCACGATGACAAAGATCTGCCTCATCCCACTCTTGCTGGTGACCAGTGTATCCATGAAGTCCATGGACAAGCTTTCACCCGGCCTTTCCGGAATCAGAAGGGGCTTGAGTAGCCCAAAAGGAGCCTGAGTACGGGGCTTGTCTCATTGGCAAACTTGACAAGTTTCCACGTACAGCTTAGCATCTTTTAACACCGTGGGCCACCAGAACCTTTGCAGCAAATTGGCTGCGGTCTTCTTGTACCCAAAATGGCCAGTGGCGTCGTGACACTCGCCTAAAAACAAACTACGCAAAGACTCTTTATCAGGGACACACAAACGTTTATTCCCTTCCTTCTCGAGAAACAGCAAGCCATTGACCAACTCAAACTCGGCTGAAGTTTGTTTATCCTTCGCCTCGAGTCTGCGTATGATCTCAGCCATAAACTGGTCCTCTCGATAGGCTTCCACCAAGAATCGAGTGACATCATCCGTAAGATCGTACTCAGTAATCAGCGCACCTGAGAAGTCAGGTCTACGCGACAAGGCATCAGCAACCTTGTTGTACTCACCCTTAATGTACTGAGGGTCAAAGTCATACTGCTCAATGACTTCTATCCAACGCTTCAATGCGTCAAAGAGTACAGGTTGGGTTCTCATCCATCTCAAGGTCTGATGATCAGTCCTGAGGATGAAGAACCTCCCAAGGAGATAGTGTCTCCAATGGGTCAGCGCCTTGAACACCGCATAGAGTTCTTTCTCATAGGTGGACTTAGCCAACTTCTGAGACGGCATTTTCTCGGACATGTACTCAACAGGCCTCAACTTTGGCCCCTCCTGCTGCGCAAGCACGGCGCCAATGCCATATTGGCTAGCATCCGTAGTTACTATAAACGGCTTATCAGGATCGGGAAGTTTCAAGACTTCATAATGCGTTAGTGCATGCTTCAGATGTCTGAAAGCAGCCTCGCACTCCTCTGTCCGCTCCCACGGGGTATCAAGGCGGGTCAGATCAGTCAAAGGAGCGGCCACTACGCTATAGTTCTTTACAAAAATCCGGTAGTAGCTTGTCATTCCTAAGAAAGATCTCATCTCAGTCACTGACTGAGGTCGTGGCCAATCGCGAATGTTGGCCACCTTCGCGTCATCGGGCTTCAACCCTTCCGCGGAGATCTCATGACCCAAGTACAAGACACGGGTGCGCCCAAACTCGCACTTCTCACCGTTGATCTTGAACTTGTGTTGTCGCAGGAGACTAAGGACTTTGTCCAAGTGTGCAACGTGCTCCTCGACAGTCTTACTAAAAATAAGTATGTCATCGAGGTACACGATGACAAACTTATCCAAGTAGTCATGGAATATTCGATTCATAGCGTGTTGAAAGGTGCCAGGAGCATTGCACAGGCCAAAAGGCATCACCACAAAATCGTACAGGTCATACCTGGTCTGAAATGCGGTTTTGTGTTGATCCTCGGGCCGGATTGCAATCTGATGGTACCCGGACTTCAGATCTATCTTACTGAAGTACCGACACCCTTGCACTCTATCTAACAGATCGTCGATGCGCGGTAGGGGCTCTCTGTTCTTTACAGTGATGGCATTGAGACCCCTATAATCAATGCACATCCTGAGAGTGCCCTCCTTCTTCTTAGGTACGAATAGTACTGGAGATCCGTAAGGAGAGACACTCGGCC